ACTGAAAATAATGTTTCACCATCTGACCTCAGTACTACATCATTTAACTGTCCAAACTAATGTAAAGAGTCGTTTACAATTCGATATCCGTATTTAGGCCTTAGTTGTGTTTAGTTTATTAAATTCATCTTTTCTTCAACAGTTGAGATAAATTAGTGATGAAAATTAAGCAAATCCCCATTGTTACTACTATAATCGTATTCATCATCCTTTCCTGTTCAATTTATCCAAATTGCTGACTTTTCCCTGTTCCTCTTGACGCCAACGAAACGCTTCACTACACTTCACTACGCTCAAACAGTATAATTGTAATGCTGATATAACTTATTTTATCTGTGGTGTAATCATTGAAAACATACAAACATGATCAAACTATTGCACTGGATTTCCTTTAAATTATTTTTGTTACAGGCAGGGTTTGTCAAGGAATATTGAATTTAATTACTGATAGACATTTACAGTGTAACGGGGAGCGATCTGGTCTAGTGGTAGAGCGCGAGCCTTCGGTCACCCAGGTCCCAGGTTCAAATCCCACCAATGACCAATGAATTTTGTCTAATGCCGCGAACCTAGAGGTCTAATCTGAAGTAACTTAAGTATAAAGTAATAAAGCTTACTAATGGTATGCGTATGGTTGTCAATTAGTTTAAATTGTGTAATTCGTAGAACAACCAAACACAAGCTTGGATAACCAGCAGGCCTATTCCATTACAAAGAGTAGTAGTAAACCAATATTTTGAACCAACTAAAATGTAATCTCGATATTTACGAGCCAGAATCTTGGCCATCATCCACCTCAGAGTCAATAGTACAATACGAACAAGAAGTGGTTTTCCCAACATTGGCAAGCTATTGAGATCTTTGCTTTGACAGTTGGTCTTTGGAAAGAAAAACAAGTCCTTAGATTTGATCGCTTAGACAAACGCCAACTTTGGTTTCATCTCTACAAAGTTTAGCTTTTCCGATACTAGTCACATGAACATGTTTGAAACGTTACTAAACTGTGTAAATAGACACTACGCCGTTTTCCCGGGTCTAAATTAAGGCTAAGTATCGACCGATTAGATATGGATTCAAATTATATAAAATTATTGTAATACGGGGACTTTTCCATTAATTCACTACTATCAGTTGAAAATATAAGGTTAATGTTATACCTCGGTTCTAACCTAACCTAACCCAACTAATAACCTAACCCTAAATAGGATTTGTGGATTATTTTAACATAAAAAAATTGAAAGTTGAAAATTTGAGTTAATAAATTAAAGGGAAAAGCCCCAATACTACGAAAAGTTTAGGACTTGTTTTATAAAGAATGCGTTAAAAACTATCAAGAGTAAGCCTAATCTTAGAAATAACATAGGTAATCTACAACATTTTCAAGGTAGGAAACTCCAACCTACTAGCTCACTGGTTAGATAAAACTTATCAAATTAATAACAAAAGTACTATTACATCCCCTTACAAATTCTTTTAGTCAAAATATGTTACAACCAATCAGAATCTACACACTGTTAATTTAACAACACACTACTTCGTTCACAATATTTAGGTGGGTTTAGAGTAAGAAATCTGTCCCCTGAGCTTTAAAATAGCTCAACAGCTGATTGAGCAAAATCAACATACATTAAATTCAAAAAAGTGGCGGGGGAACTTCTCAACCGCCTAAATATTGTAAACGAAGTAGGTCTATAGGTTCATTGCCAAGGCCAGGGAAGCAGTATGTTTCACACTTGTGACCGGGGAAATAGTAGCTTTCTGCTCTAGCTTTCACAACAATCTAGTCCACCGCGGCCTTGAAAACAGCTGATCCGGGTCTCGCACCATCACTGATCACCGTTATATTGGAATTGAATAGATATATATATAAACATGCAGTTTTTACTCCAAAGTGACAAATGATGCTTTGTGTGCGTGCAACAATGCTCACGGGGACGTGGGGTTAGCGTAAAATACGTGTTTGGAAGTGTTCGAACCCGGGACTTAAGGACCGAGTACAACGATCAACACTGTTCAACTAGCATATCTCGAAAAAAAAATCTTTAAAGTTAACTATTCGCGTTCAATTAAGTATCCATATAGACGTTTGTGCAACATTCTTTATCAACGCAATAATACCCCCGCCGCAGCAAACCTGCAGACTAAGCGAATTTCCATTTCCCTGAATGGATTTACACTAAAATGTCTCCTTAAAAATATTACATTTATTCCCTATTTAAATAGAATCAGTTTAAAACATACTTAGGTTTGCTGCAACAGGGAGGGTAAAAGTGTTTTTTATGTAAAATGTTAATAGTTAGTAAGAAATAAAAACATTTTCCAAATCTGGGCAAAATATGTTTATAAACAAGCAAACTACAACAGTTTACTTATTCTCCATAAGAATAACATGGGAATTTTAAATTTACAATTTTTTGGAATTTTCTCCGTAACCATTAGGCGCATTATAACGCTTCAATATACTAAATTATTTGTTTTTTTAAGCTCTACAAAACTGTTTTGAAAGAAATTGCAAAATTTTATGTTTTTTGGGTCAAAAATGGGGAAAACCCATTTTTACCCCATAAAAGCCCCCATAAACCCCCGTTCCCATGGTCCGATCATGCTGGTTCGCGAACTCGTTCGAATAAACGTAGGTTTACACGTTTGTACCAAATTTCATGAAAATCGGATCATTTTTGCTCGAGTTATCGCGCTAACGGACACACACACACACACACACACACACACACACACACACACACATATATATATATATATATATATATATATATATATATATATATATGAATTTGAACGAATGGTGTTTTTTACCTCTAGGGACCTCAAAACGAAAAAAAAATCGGTCCCGGGTCCAGGTCTTACCGTGAGTACTACGGTAATAGCTTATTCCCTATATGGGAAATTCGCTAAAAACTAAAGTAAATATTTTTTTGGATTTTTAATTGTGATTTACAGTACCATCAAACCCCGTAAGAAATTATAATAATACAATTTCCACAAACCGATTCTAATAGTTTTGATTTAAATTAATTTACGTAACAACCCTTTTAACCCTGAAAAAATTGACACACTTACCAACACAGTACACATTCTACGGTTCAAAAGCTATTGCAATTTTCGTAGACTAATTCCTCCCTTAAAAATCCATTAATTTCCTTAAACATAAAAAAGCTTACAGATCCCATGGAAGAACCCACAAACCAAGTTTCATCAAAGTCGGATCACAGGTAAAGTCTGTCTGTGCACATCCACACACAATTTTATGGCCAAACTGACAGAAGAAAATAAGTTGTCAGCTGATACCGTTTATTTACCATAACATCAGAGAAAATAAATCAAGAATGTAAAGCCAACACAATCTATTCCATAAGCCCAATGTCTATTGTGACGTCATAAGTTATTCTTCTCCTCTCCGACACTCAGCAAGCGGAAAGTTGATTAAACAAGCGGCATTACCGAATCAATTTCGACGAGTGAATGAAGTATTGGAAAGTTATTGAATAAAGATGCGAATCACTTAATTGACTGTTATTGTCTCCGAATATAAAGGGGTCCAATTATCACGGACGCCATTTAACCGGCTTTCCACCCGTTAACGAGATATTTACCGTCTCTAATTAATTTCTGCGTTCGTTCGTCAGAAAAGATTAGACGCTGGTGGAACAAAATCCACCACGGTTGATTTGTTTTGCAAAATACCGTCAAGTCATTGTAAAGAAACACAGCACAACGGAGGCATATTATTTTTAAATCATGTTCTGGTTACTGTAAGATAAATAATAAAGGAAAATATAATGTTAACCGATTATTGAAGTGTTGAGTGTTGCCAAAAGATAAAAAGGGGAACACCATTGATTTGAGTTGTGTGCGAATAATTCGATACTAATGAAAATGATATTGTAGGCCTACATTGACTCGGATCCTTGAATGTTTATCGATCCTTTGAATCCGATTATGGACACATTTGAATCCGGTAATGTTTGGCCTCGATTATCGCACGGTATCGATACATTGTCTACAAAGCAAGCCTGGGCCGACAACGACACATGACTGCAATTAATTGTAGACCCGTATCGATACTTTGACTCCGACGCTGGGCCGGTATAATCGATATTTAATATACAATGCTTAAACGATACCGATACTTTGACTCCGATGCAGGACCGTTAACGGTACAGTACTTAATCTCCGATGCTGAACCGATATTAATCATTTAACCCTGATGCCAGGCCAGTATCGATACTTGAACTCCGATACAGGACCAGTATCGATACTTAATCTCCGATGCTGAACCGATATTAATCATTTAACCCTGATGCCAGACCAGTATCGATACTTGAACTCCGATTCATGACCAGTATCGATACTTAATCTCCGATGCTGAACCGATATTAACCATTTTACCCTGATGCCAGACCAGTATCGATACTTGAACTCCGATACAGGACCGGTATCGATACTTAATCTCCGATGCTGAACCGATATTAATCATTCTACCCTGATGCCAGACCAGTATCGATACTTGAACTCCGATACAGGACCGGTATCGATACTTAATCTCCGATGCTGAACCGATATTAACCATTTTACCCTGATGCCAGACCAGTATCGATACTTGAACTCCGATACAGGACCGGTATCGATACTTAATCTCCGATGCTGAACCGATATTAATCATTTAACCCTGATGCCAGACCAGTATCGATACTTGGACTCCGATTCATGACCGGTATCGATAAATTGTCTCCAATGCTAGACCGGTATCGATAGCCTACTTGAACTCCGATACAGGGCTGGGTCGATACTTGACTCCAATGGTAGACCGGTATCGATACTTTTACTCAAATGATTGGCCAGTATCGATACTTTGACTCCAATGATTGACCTGCACCGATTGTTTGACTCCGATGCTAGACCGGTATCTATACTTCGACTTCAATAGTCCAGAATATTTACCCAATCTCAACACCCCAGGATACAATATTTGATAAACTCACCACTTTTCAGTTGTATCAGAGAACGTGTCGGGTCGAGATCATATCACAGTCAGGTCCGCACACACATATCACACTTTACACTACGCGACACACCACTACACGCACAGTCACTGTCACTGCTATAGGTCGGGCCGGGCTGCCATCTCCTCGGTTCCTTCTGAAACAACAACACAAACATCAGTCAGACATCAGACAACACGTAGGCTACATAACTAAAACTAGGGTCTAGGTTAGATGATAGAATCTTTTAATATTTCCAAGCTACAACTGCAATACATGGTTTAACAGCCATTGACTAAAATCAATACACCCAAGTTCATGAGCAAGCAAGTCGCGTTCCTGAGGCAAACTCTATTATCATTAGAGCTCTGCAGCGCATAATACGGGTGTGAACCCGTATTAGATTTATATAGGTACAATAACCACACGATGTACGGCAATATGTACTTACTTAAATACATTTACGCACAACATTTTAACATAAACAAGATATAGTGGTGAATAAAAAGTAAAAAGTCCTGACAATTTCCGTTAATGCACTACCACAATGGTTTTTTGAAAATTTTTTTATTGTTACAAATACTTTTTAGGGTAAGGCTATCTTAGGTTGGGTTAGGTTAGAACCGAGGCGTAACGTAAACCTTAAATTGTGTATAACGTACTTAACGGAAAAGGTCCATAAGTAGGCTACACAAACTATATTTTTACTAAATTTTTAAATCACGTTAACAGTATATAAAAAAGCACATTAACTTAAACATCTCATTATTCCCTTCTTCGATTCAGTGTAAAGTACAACAACGAAGGTCAAATGACATACATTATCATTATCGACTGATAAACCCGAAATGGTTAGGCAACGCAACAGATATCTACGACAACCAAAGCCTTTAAACAGTACAATATCGCTTCATTCTTCTGTTCATGTTCCATTTCCCAAGAACAATGCTTAATTTCAACGTACGAAAGGTGAAGGTGAAGGTGAAGCAATCAAGGTAATCCATGACAGTTTTTCTTGATGCAACGAATAACTAGGCGATACAAAAAACGTATTAGGAACTTACAGTATATGGATAGTCATAATTATATACAAATCCTGTTTAGTAGGTAGTTTTAGGTTCAAAGTAGAACCAGGGGAAGACCACGAACTAGATGGTCGGATCAGGTCCAGCAAGACATGAGTTAGGGAATTGAAGAAGATTCTGAGGACAGAGACAGGTGGAGGCGCTGTGTTGCTGAGGCCAAGTAGGACCACAGACTGGGATGAATACGAAAGGCCATGGATATAGGTAAGTTTTAGGTTAGGTTAGTTTAGGTATGAACCGAGGCAGGACTCAAAACCTCAATTGTGTAACCCCTACAAATAATTTAGGGGCATTCGTAACGGAAAGGGACCACTAACACAAATCTTTGGAGGGGATATTGACGATGGAGGAAAGTTATCAAAAAACACAACCGTGGCAGTGTGAGGATATTAAAGCAAGGCCACGAACCACGAGACCAGGAAAGCGGACCAACCTCGTCACACTGGCCCACATCTGGAGGCGGCCTCGGCGCGACTTTGCCGTGACGGTAGCATATCGTGCCGTGCCGTGTCGTGACGGACTCATCAACGTTTGACAGATCGCTGTCACTTAGCCCACTTGCGCAGCATGACTTGTGCCAAGGTCGGTAGCGAACTGTCGAATTACTCTATCCCACAGGTGAAACACTCCAGTAGCAAACCTACAAGCGAATTACCAGTGTGGCCCAAATCGCTTAGTCTGCAGGTTTGCTGCGGTGGGGGTGTTTTATTTTCTATGTTGGCGTATAGTTTAAAGTTGTCTGTGAATTACCCCATTTCATGGGAGTGTTGCACGACGTCCAAATTTCACGATGTCAAATTATATACAGTAATTCAGTATCACAACGTCCAATATAAACTATTCAACTACACGACGTCCAGATCTCATCATGTCCAAAGCTTGTAGAAAGATTACGTTTCTTGCAGTTACTGTACTTTTGGATGTCATGGGTACTCTTAGTCGTCGGGCGACAGCGCACTTTATACTCATTGGACGTCGGGAAACAGCTCAAAGCTTATATTTTGGACGTCGGTTTATTTCATTGGACACTGACACTTGGGCGTCGTGCAATGCATCCGCATCATATAGCTAATGATAGCACACTCATAGCGGTTGGTTGATTTTAAGTACCTTTGGTTCAAGTCCCGTTCTAGCCAATAAATCAACTGTACCCCTAGTGAATTTCAAAACCGCCATCAATCCAAAATCCTAACCTATCACCCCAATCACAACGTTTCCACACTCCCAACATTAGCAGTCAGTTGGAAACATATCATTACACGTTGAACTGCCCAATTTGCAGCACGAGTTCAACGTCATCATAACGTGCGTCGACGGTACCCTCCTCATGTATAAATCAAATCCAACCCAACTACTGTCGTTAATCAACACGATGACGATTTGATTCGAAACACGTCCTCGACTACGTTGACAGAGCTGAGCTATTATGGCTGGGACTGGGCGTAAACTATGCTCAGTAGGCTAAACACGAGTTATACATCCCAATTCCAATTCTAAGGAGCAGAGAAGAAAAATATGGAGATATATTATAATATAGGGGATATTCATTTTCTAAAAGAAAGTGATAATTTTTACGAGATTTGCCTACACTACAGCATAAGAATGGACTAAGAATGGATTACTGATCCACAAGCTCCAAATATACAACTAAGTTCTGTTTTCGAAGAAACCGTAAGAATGACCTGGAACCCCATAGAAAATTGTCGAATCTTTCTTATTAATTTATTACCACTGTATTTTAAGGTTAAAATGTTATAATTGTAAACAATAACTGTTTAGCATTAGGTTATTTTAGGCTGGGTTGGTTTATGTTAGAATCCAGACAAGCCATGCAAATTCAATTAATTGTGTATTATTACATACGGATTATACAGGGTGTCCCGTAACTCTCTGGACACATGTATATAGCGCAACATTAATGGTTTATGAGTTTTTAGTATAACTTTAAACGAAAATATTTCTGAAGAAGATAAACATGTTTGCAAAATCTCAACGCATCTCAAACCGTTTAGGAGTAATTAATTTTTTTGGTAAAAAACACATAAATACAGACAAACGGTAAACTAGGCACCACTAACCCATGTTCCTATGGTGAAATGTGTTTGTCTTGACCTAAGCAATAACGCTATATACATGTGTCCAGAGAGTTACGGGACACCCTTATAATGGTAATAAATCGATTGGAAAGGTCCAAAATACCTTTTGGTTTCAATCCATCTGGCCTAGCCCAAAACTGCTTGTTTAGCTCAATGATTTGCTGTAGTTGCAATAATAACCATAACATCACAATTAAACCTAAAGCTGTTCAGCTTAACCTTTAGTTTTATTTTACGCAAAACAATACAAAATGCTTCGTCTATGTAAAACACAAGACATGATACCATAGAGCAAAAAATATTCCATTACATTCAATATGCATGAAAAATACAGAAAAACATAATACAAATTTTTCAACAAAATTAGAATGCTACCTGCATTATTCAAAGGCAATAGATATGCCTGACTCTACAAGGCACTTGGCATAAAATAACCGTAGAATTATCCAATGAAAAAACCCAGACGCTATATTGAAGACGATCCCCTCCTATATAACAATATCATCCAGGTCTGATATTACCTTGGAACAAGGCCAAAGCCAAGTGTACGCTGCGAGTTTTGTGATAAGGGAGAAACTTCGCCCTTCTATTGTATATGACAAATTTAAATATTGTAACAATACAATGTGTTTTATAACATAGTCGTGATGATCTTGATGACATTTGGTATGTAGGTACTAATCCATGTTATCTCTAGGCGTTATTTTATATTTTTTTCTTCTCGAAAATAGCCCGAACGATTTTGATAGAAATGTAGTATGTTGTAGCCCTTGAACAAAATGGCACAACTCCCATCGCTGTATAAATTACGGCTCAAAAGTTATTGCAACTTTTGTTATTTTCCCATAAAACCCCAAAAAAACAACGGAAATTCGGATTTTTGAAAAAATTCCGGATATTAAATAAAATTAGTATGTTATGATCCGTATAATTATATACAATATAATGCAACCCACCATTGCTGTAAAAATTGCGGTTTAAAAGTTATTGCATCTTTTGTAATTTTTTCCCTATAAAATAGCATAGGTAACAACTGAATGGAACTTGAACGGAAGGCCTAAACTCCCACTGCTTGAGCATGATAAAGGTTGTCGACAAGCTAATGGGAAAAATTATGTGTCAAATTGCTGATACCGTTTAGTATAGTCTGTTGTCATTTATAGGCCTAAGATTTTTTATTTCCTTCATATTGTGATGATCTTCCCGAATCACTTTGACGAAATTAAAGATTCCTTATTAAAGTGGCGCTAGTAAATGTAGCGCACACCAACCATTTCTCGTTAATTTTTCAATGTTTTATGTGTCTTTTGTAAACTTTGACAGGGTCAACTTAATAATTGTCTGATTTATTTTAAGTTTTGTGCGACCTGGTGAGGAGTCAACAGCATTGAAACGCCAGCATTTAAAGAAAATATTTTATTGAGGTAGCAGCAGTGCTGACTTCATGTAAAATTTACAAAAAGGTGTATTAAATATTATACAATCCTAGGGAATAATTTCAACAATATTGATTTTGAACCTCCAAAACTCATTGTTTTGACAGCATTTCGAACGCAGTAACAGCGAGAACAATGAATGATTTAACGGTTTTTAGAGTGATGAACAGAAGACTAATAGGTTTAGCAATCGGTTTGTATCAGCAATGTTGGCTTTGAAACGTGTTAAAACCACGACCCAAATAACTGTGAGTACCAGACGTATAATAACACTTTTTTGTGGTACTATTTTAATACTGGATTTGTGAAATTAGGCGTAAAATATTCAAAATAGCCGCCATTTTGAAACAGTTTTAGAGTTTTTATTCTCATTCACACAAATTTAGCGGTCAATAAGATGAACATTTTGGCAGAATCGCAATGTTGTAGTTAAAACCTTTAAGTAGTTATAAGTAAAAAAAAAAATACCCCCACCGCAGCAAACCTGCAGAATAAGCGAATTTCAACTTGTCTGATTACATTTTTCCAAAAATATTTCCA